AATCATGCATAGTCATATCTGTAAAGAGCTCGATCTTAACTCCAGTCATTTTAAGCATAGCATCCCAAGCTAAAGCTAGTGCAGATACATAGTGGCTAGGATCAAGTTCATAGTATTGCATACATGTTTTTCGAAATTGAGTCCAAATATCTGCTAGGCTAAGTATGTCAGTCTTAAGATAGAGATCATGATACTCTCCTAGATTCTGGCAGTTAAATTCTTTCTATACTTTTTGGGCATGTTCATAATCTGCTTGTGTAATTTTACTATTAAGAGTGCTATGAAATTCTTCAAATAAAGGAAGCTCGGTTTCTAAGAATCTATCTTGTGAATTGATATAGTCGTAAGGATAAACTCCCTTACATAAAACTAAAGCTATTTGTTCTGAAGAGTAACCTAGTTTTTCAAAAATCTTGGTTGTTATTGGGTGAATATCTCCCAAATTTTTTGTAAAATTTGCCAAGCTATTATTCATAAATTGCATGCTATCTGTATATTTAAACTGACCTACCTTCATAGATTTATAACGCTTAAATGTTTCAGCTATGACTTTTATCTGATGCGCATTAACTGATTTTCCAACAGATTCACAAACCAAGTGGGAGTCATAACCCCGGAAGTTATGAAAGATAATTGGGATAGGAGTTTTCCATGCTTCAATCTAGAGTTTGAGATTATATGCATTGTGAACGGGTCTTCGAAACTTACCTGTTATATGACAGTAGTCCTAGACCTTATCATCTATAGCTAATTTTTCTTTACATATCCAACAGATATCTGCTTCAGCAAATTTTTTCTTATCATTTTCTATCACAATTCGGTCATGCTTAATAGCTAAGATCTTATTAATTTCGACCAACTCTTTATCAATTCTTTGGACAAATTCTTGTGTAGCATTTTCTCCTCGATATAGGTAAGGCCCCCATATATCTCCAGTATAGAACCAATGAACCAGATAACAAAAGCTATTAGCTTTTTGCTCAGCAAGTTTTCGCATTTGTCCTCCATATTTTTCATTGCATTTCTGGTTGTCTGCTTCAAAATCTGCTATAATAACACATGGGGCATTTATCATCCAGGCATGATTTTTAAACTTCTCAAAATCATTGACACCCTTGGTAGGTAAAGTGATTCTTTGAGTAGCCTCCTCCAAACCGAAACAGTGCTCTTGATGATGAGCTAGAGATTTTTCTGACTGAAAGCTATGAAAGCATCGATTATATAGATACTTTTTAACTTTTTTGGTATTATCTTTATAAACCAATCCATCTGAATTTTTGATCCAAAGAAAATAATTTTTTTGTCCGTATTTTTCATCCTCAGATTTGGTAATATTTGTAAGAGCCATGAGATATATAATATGTTGTCTATTATAGTTCTTGCTGGCTATTACCGGTTTAGGAGTTGCTGATTCTTCTTTCTATTCCTAGACATTAATAGATATATCTGGATTCATTTTCTCAATCTTATTAAATATCCGTGAACTGATTGGTGTAGGCATTGGGATGTTATCAAGTTTGACGATATTTAAGTATTTTCGAAGACTTTTTGCTCTATATATACACCTTCCCAAGTGGTCTGTAATTCCTTCTTTATCTGCAAAATAATATCCTAACGCACCTTTGAGACAATTATTTGTAAGATTGCCCGTAGCTGGATCTATAATATCTGAATTGTCTGGATTAATAGTACACTTTGTATTGGCAAGCTTTTTAGGTGTTGGGATAAAATATCCTCCCAAAGAGCGATGATATGTATAAGCTTTAATAAATACCCTATCAATTCGGATTAGTTGCTAGTTAGAACCACCTTCTAACATTTTTTCAATTTTTTCATCTATTTCCTGGCCAGAAAAAGTTAAATGATTATCTATATCATCTTTAGAGAGAATTACTCACATATCTCCTCTGTGATAGGATTCTTTATAAACAGGAAAACATTGGTTACCACATTTTTGCATTTTGGTATACTTGCATGATATGACTAATGCTGATTTGATTTGCTCTTTTTCTTGTAATTCAAGATAACTTCGGTTGTTTTTTCTCGAGCTGATCCTATAAGCTGAGGCATGTATAGTGCATCTATATATTCATTTTTAGTTTTTACACCTTTATTGAATGCATATACTAAGTTTTTTCTAGAAGGAACTATGGCCTCCCACTTGCTTAATAATGAAAGATTTTTATAAGGCCTTGATGGATCAGCAGATTTTTTCTCAAATCGGATATTGCCTTTGGGGGCATTTTTATCTGCTTTAAAATATTTTTCTTTTATTAAATCTGGCTGAATATCAGATTGTTTCAGTTCTACATCACCATTTTTTATTGCCTCTTGAAGTTCATTCTGTGAAGCTATATTTTTTCTATAGGCTTGGATTGCGGGGCCTGAGCCAGCTTCTTGGGAAATTGGTATTGGTGATTTATTTCTTTTTGTTATTTCTCGTCTTTGATCTCTTCCTCGAATATGAGTAACAGGAGGAGGAATGTCTTGGTCTTTGACTTGGGGAATTGTAATTTGAGGAATTACTTTTGGTCGATATTTATATTGTCTTTCATTATGGCAACGAAGTTTCCATAATTTGGGAAAGCTTTTGCCACATCTTGTACATGGATGTTCGACCATATTTGTTATATAATACTTATAAAAATCTTTTCTTTAATTATAATACCTTAAGTATTATATAATACTTATAAAATATTTTTGTTTAAATGGAAATTTTGGTATCCCGATATCAATTTTTTTGTCCTAATTTTGGTACCAAGATCTGAAATTTTAGTAAATATATCTGAAATTTTGGTACCCGGATCCGAAAAAATAGCTATCTATGTCTGAAATTTTGGTATCCAGATATTAAAATTTTGGTATCAAGATCCGAAATATCTGAAATTTTGGTATCTGAGTATCATAATTTTGGTATCTGTATCCCAAATTTTGGTACCCCGCCATAGCGGAGTACCAAAATTTATCCTTTGCTAGATAGAGTTAAATCACTTTTTGAATTAATTCTAGAATAGTATAGAAAATAGTATGCATATTAGGCTTGAATGGGCTCGCAGAGAAGCACACTCGGACCCAAATTTTGGTACCCCGCAATGTGGGGTACCAAAATTTAACCTTTGCTAGATAATGTTAAATCGGTTTTTGAATTAATTCTAGGATAACATAAAAAATAGTATGCATTTTAGGCTTGAATGGTCCCACAGAGAAGCACACTTGGACCTTCGGTTCTCGGTGCTCTCAGCTCATTTTAAGAGCAAGCAATATAGCATATATTTTTCGTTATCTTGTTTGGGATTAAAAACATAGCCAGAGTATTAACAAAGACTATGTACACCTTAATGTTGAAAATCTAAATTTAGGTATAAGGAGAGTAAGTTAACAGGATTTGGCTCTAACATAATTTAAAGCTTGAATTCGATATAGGATTTATATAGCTAGAAAGGCTTGTAGAGGACGTTAGAAAGGTGGGAAAGCTAGAGTCGGAATTCTGACCCCAGAACCCTCCTTTTGACCCTACTACCTTTGGCCTATTACATCTACTATAGTGCTTAGCTCAAACTATATTTATCTAATAATTTAATTCCTATAACATTAATTACAATATATAAAGTAAGTTTTAAGATCATTATTATTAATGGTAAATAATAGTACTAAAGTATATAGAATATTATATGTACATATGAATTTTTCTAAGTAATTGAATGATTTGAAGTTAATATTGTTAATATCTATAAGGATTGATTAAAGAAAAAATTTTTTTATATGCATAAGAATCAAAAGATTGACTATAAAAATTTATATTTGAATTTCATATCAGTGATGTACATACAACTTTTTTTTCACACTTTAGCTTGTAAATTTTATGAAATTAATATTTCTATTGATGAATGGTGCATCTCTGGCTTATTATATAGTTATAAATGCTAACTGCAAAAATACATATCTAATATGGTTACTTAGTAAATTCAATGATCCAATAGTAAAATATTATTATTAATAGTAATTTAATTGAATTTTTAACTGCTATATTACATTACTGCTATATTACATTATTGAAATTTTAGTATGTATTATAAATATTTGAATTAGCATAAATTAATCAATATAGTAAAAGAGAGTTAATTGGATGTTGGTTATACCTGTTGCTTCGCTATAGAAACAGCTAATAACTATTAAGTGATTTACACAGATACAATTAAAATTTTATTTATACATGTAACTTCGCTATATGAATCCCAATAATTCAGATATACATTAATAACTACAGTCAGGGAATTTTCCAAATTAGGAATTGGGATCTAGAAAGATTTATACTATTTGATTAACTATATGCTTATTTTTTTTTGCCGTTTTATTGTGAATTTTTTATAGTATTTTCTTCTTAATAATAAAAAGTCTTCGAACATATAATATTCAATCTCTAGATTTGATAATCAAAGTTAATTAGTCAAGTTTCACTTTATTAGCCAAAGTAAATGAGACCTCAAATTATACATTCATGTATAGTTAAGTATGTATAAAAGAACATAATTTCACTTTGCATTTTTTTTTCTTATAGTATCTACTTACCAAAAACCTAAAGCACATACTCTTAAGTGTATTTTTGCTGATCCTGTTGAGTGCTATAGAGCATTTTAGTTGAGACCTTGCAAAACTAGTGAATTACAAATATGGCAACATGCTGATAGTGCGAATATAGTTAAGAATCTTTTAAAATATCATGATTATATTCCCGAACTTGTTAAATGTCAATTTTCTTTAACAAAATATTTAGTTTGTTAGATATATTACAATCAAGTAATTAATACTAATCAGTTTTATTAGCATATTATAGGTTCTGATCAAGAAAATAAAAGAATCTGACTTGACAAGAAAAATTTAAATATTGCCAGTTATGTTGATTCAGCAGTTAAACTCAATCAAACTAAAAGGCTTTTAGAATCAGTACAATTAGAAGGTCAGCAAAAATCACAAGAGATAATGACTCTCAACCACCAAATAGTACAAATGCAACAGTATATAGATAGCCAAAAAGATGAAATTAAGATGTTAAGAGGCTAATTACAAAAAGCTTATAATGAAATTATTGAAATTCAGAATCTATATTCTGAACAATACAAGTACAAAGAGACCCTTATTGAACAGTAGAATTTAAGATATACTAATCAACAAAAGCATATCGACACAATCATTGAAATAGCAAATACAAAGTGTGTGTTATTTTTTGATAATATGAAAGCATTAATTCAAGATAAAAATAGATTCTTTATAAAAAATATTGTATTATATAGTCCTTATAAGTGGCTTAACAAAAGTAATCAAGTTGTTGTTAAATTTATTAAAAATCTTGTTAAAAATAATAGAGATACTGATATTTTAAGTCAGAAAAAGCTTTTTAAAATTACTGTTATAGTTGATTCACTATATGGTACACGACATGAAAAATACGTATCAGAAATTCAACTTGCTCTTTTAGCTATTAAGTATTCAATCGTATTATCAATAATGATAATTATATTACAAGTTCAGAAAGTTATAATTGGTTTCAAAAGTGGATAGAAGAATTAGCAAGATATAAAGAACTATTACCTGAAGGTCTTTTGTTTCTTGCATTCAATAATGAACAATGGGGACAAAAAAATTATCTTGATCAAGGATTTAATACTGTGGTTTATCATATAGTTACAAGTTTTGTCATTTTTAATATGTCATTACAAAATAGAATTCAACATACTACTAATTCATTTTGGGCATATAATTCTCTTAATATTCTACAATATAATGAACTTTTTGAAGTTAGTTCCCAAATGCAAGAAGTTGCTGATGAAGAATTATATAATTATCTTGATAATCTTTTAAATTTATTGTCTCAAGAGAAATTATCCTTTACTAATACTATTGATTCTCTTGTAGCATTTACAGAAATTAAAATTCCCAATATAAAAGTGTACCTTAGCTGCCATAAACAAGAAATTGAAAATCGAAAAAAAGTTTGTTCTAGCTGTGGAACACGATTACCTACATTAGCTGAACTTCAAAAAGAAAAAGTAGTTGAAAAAGAAATCAGTAAAACTGACAATTTGCTTGTTTTTAGGCTATATAGTATTGATAATGAATCAAGTTTGAATTCTACTAATATTTCTAGAATCAGTATTACTCAATGACGAGTTATTGATCAAGGAATTAACATTTCTGATATTTATATTCCTGATCCAGTTAATATTAATCCTAATTCAATTGCTAATATTGAAAAAAAATTTTACATATAGAAACAATTACAAGAATTAAAAAAACTTGTAATTGGATGGCAGCAACTTGTGATGGTGTTCTGTACCATTATACTCTAAAATTGAAGGAAAAATTTCCATGGCTAGTTCTTATTTTAAAGCCATTACACAAAGAAATGAATATGTTATGAGTATTTGTAGAGTTAAACTGGTTAGTTATTAGTTTTATATAACTACTATATTATAGATTTTATTATTAAATTGATGTTTTTAATTGTTGGATGTCAAAATATGTATGGGCAAATTAAAATATATTAATTTTAGAATTTAAAAATTTTAGTAATACAAAATGTTCTGGTCAACATTCTCAGATATTTCAAACAAAAAAAGCTATTAAAAATTAGCATTAATATAATTAAATTTTATTTTAAAGAAATCGATATAAAACGATTTGCAAAATGCCAGGGTTATCAAACAGATAATTAACTTGCATATTTCAAAAAATGTGCAGACTATTATAAGTCTTGGGATTTTATTTGCAATATATATCGTCAAGCAATTTCTATAGAACTTGTATGGCTATATGTAAAAAGCAATTCTAAAATATCTGTTGAAGGATATTTTACTTAGGTTAAGGATCAAGATTCTCTGTACAAGTTAAAATATAAACAAGTTAGTATATAGTAATTGTTTATTAAAATAAAAAAAAATTTTGAGATATTAAAATTATATATTTTTTATTATAATAGACATTCATTTACCTTCAAGCAATAATCAATTACCAAAGAGCTATTAGAACTAACAACCTCTTATTAAAACGAGCAGCTAGAAGAGTGTTTTCTCCTATTTGGTCTGCAAGACATCATCATATACCATCTTATAAAAGTTTCTGATAAAATTCAATCGATTCAGCTTCGTTCTGAAATACGAAATATTATAGAGGAAAATTGTGTTGTCTCTAGATCTGGTATTTATAATCAATATCAAGGTTTAGATGCAGTTATAGGGGAGATAAACAAGACCCTGAAGTCTTTAATACCACCTATTCTACAACACCATCATTGGGTAACTGCAGTATATAATTGTAAAAATTCCTTGAGGTAATATCTGTTTTAATTAAATTATCTTTATTTATATTTTTACTAAAAGTTTTATAACAAACTATAGCTTAGAAATAATTTATTTAAAACAATTAGGTATAATGACTCTCAAGCTTTGGGATTAAGAACTCGGCCAGAATCATCAATAAAATATCAAAGATTCTGAACTTATCTTCGAAGTCTTGAATTTGTTAGTCAGAGTCTTAAAGAATGTAGATTAAATGAAAATTTAAAGATTTTTCCTATTTAGCAAAACAAGCTTGTCGAGATTTTATTACTAAAATATTTATTAATA